CTCTCTTTCCATCTGCCCGGCCCTCTCTTTTTCTCTTTATCATCATCGTTCTCGTCGTCGATGTTTCTCCTTTCCCTTCTCGCTCGCGGCCGAGCTCTGGCAAACATGCTACCAGTTTCTCACTTTTGCTCGTAAGCGTGCGTTCTCTCTCTTTCTCCTTCTTTCTTTTCTCCTCGACGACGACGATGACGACGACGACAACGTCGAACCGGCACCGGTTCTCTCTTGTTGGTCTCGTCCTTTGCCTTCTGCCTGACGAGAATAGGAACTCCAGAGACCGTCGTCGCAGGCGCGATTCCATTATTATTATCGCCTATAGTTTAATTTCCGTTAATTGCCGGGTGCGTGGGTTTCCCATGGATTCTGCAAGATTAAAACTACTAATCGCCTTTAGAACTGGTACCTAAGAAATTTGGCTGCGCACAAGGGAATAATCGTTGAATTATGAACTTGATTCTGCAAGCATTAGCGCTTCTTAAGGTAAAAAGCTTTGAAAGAAAATTTAATTTGACTTTAAAAAAATATTTACTGATATACTTACAGAATGTACTTTTGTTTTCGTGTATTAATATTATGCAAAGTTTTCTTTTAATTCTTCGAAAATTTACGAAATTACATCCTTAAAACGTTGAACCATTCGAATCTTTTATTTATATCTGTTGTTTGTTATTCGGCTAGCGTGCAAAGAATTCACTGCTCAAATGAATTACACGGCAATACAGAAATACATCGGACTGTTGTAAAGAGAGCAAAGGCTGAAACTATATAAAATGTGCGAAGCGACAGGTACAGATTTAGTCTGAGAATTAATCGCATCGTGAGTTCCGTTTGAAGAGAATTTCGTAACGGAGTCGTGTATCTGACAATCTCCTTTAAATCGAGGTATTTACCGGAGTCGATAAGATTGTCGGGACGCCAGCTGTTGCGGTTGAATCACGCAGCCGGAAAATGCCAAATCGCATTTCAGATGCACTTGATGCATCGATTTAAGCTCACACCGACGACTCTAATTCAGGATTTATCCGAATTCGTATTCTATTTACCTCTTTTTTTAATCCAATTGTAAGATTAAGAGAACTTTAATCTAATTGTGGGATTAAAAAATACAGAATTTTGTGTGTTGATTTGCGTGATTCTTGCGTCTTTTTCTGAATCACGCAAATAATTACACAAAATTCTCTATTTTTTAAAACATGCCTATTCATAGCTATTCGAAAAAATATTTTGAAAGTATTTCATCGAATATTTCGATATGGAAATCAACAAAAGATCATATCTATTTTTATCAATGTAAATAATTAATTTAACTTCGAATCAATTTATTGTTCATTTTTTTTTTAAATTTTTAGAAAACTAAAATGGAATAAAAAATAAATTAAGATTGAAGTTATCTATATTGGTAAAAATGATTATTAAAAGAGAGAATTGGATAAACTAGAGCTTAACTTTTCATCGCGAAGAGAAATTTAGAGCGTGTGCGTAAATTTCTCTCTTTTCATTTTTTTCTTTCGGAACTTCTTATATATACATATATATATATACATATATATATATATATATCATTATCTTTCGAGATCGAGTGTCATCCGGCTTCTTTCGTTGACGATCCAACGTCGGCCCGGTCAAACCGCTGACACCTTTCAAGTTGCCGACTTTCCTCCCCTTACGTTTCCTCACTTTTCCGTTCTCCCTTCTCC